AAAAAAATTAAGGATGATTTTAAAGTTTTGGGCCTGAGCAGCTGGAAGGCTAGAGTTGCCATCAGCTGAGATAAGTCTGTGGGTTGGGGCAGGTTTGGGGAGAAGAGCATGATATATATATTTTTAAGAGCATGGTATTTCATTATATGAACGCAACATTATAAACTGACTTTTGAATATTCTCTTTCAAGGATGTTCCCAATGCTATGAGCACAGCAGAAATAACAGACAAGCTTGGCTTACAGTCCGTCCGCCGGAGAAACTGGCACATTCAGGCTACCAGCACTACCAGTGGAGACGGGCTTTACGAAGGCCTGGACTGGCTCTCCAACCAGCTTAAGAACTAGAAATGACTGGAAGCAATTCATTCCTGTGCATCGTGGCAAAACCAGCTGCTTGTGTGTGTGCAAGGAGCAAGTGTGGATGTGTGGCTGGGCGTGGGGCAGCTTTCTCACACTGTGCCTTATATCTGCTATAAGAAAACAAGTGTTGCATTTTAAGAAAAACCAGCGTTAAATTTTGTACACTACCTCCTATTTCAATAGCCTTGATGATCATCTCTACAGTTGATGGAGGGAGGAATCCTGAGGGCTGTCAGGTGCATAGGAGCCAGAGTGACCTTCATGGTGGAAAGGAGAAGGGTTGCTGGCATGAGGACCAAGTTCAGTTGTGAAGCCCTGGACCTGGCGTCTCTGCATACCCGGGATCCTGTTAGACTTTAGAGTCTACGAAAAGGATGGAACTGGCATTCTTTCCCATCCCTGCCAGAGCTAGATGCTCACTATTCAGTGCTTTCGAGCAAAAGGCGCTTGCTTACCACAGGTTTGAAGTTCAAATTGGAACTTTTCCCTTCAGCTGCAGCCTAGCCCAGACTTCCTGGTGTAACATACTTTATTTCAAGGAGTCAGTGGTCTTTTTCACTAGAGTATCCAGACTACATGAACCCTAGAGAATTATCCAGGCCTCCCTTTTTGCTAGTTCCTTCCTTGATTTGCCTTTTTTTTTTTTTTTTTTTTTGGCCAAAATGGAGACCATTTTGGGTAGTAACCCAGCATGAGGCTAAAGGTCTTTGCTGGGGCCACAGTCCAGTGAAGGGTCTGGAAAAGAAAGCAAGGTGACAGTCATGTTTGTGTCCTTGCATCACCCTCTCAGGTTTCAGGCTCCTGAGGCTGCTGCTCTCGCTTCTCTGCTCTGTGCTGAATGTTCTACGCTCTCAAAGCAGGAGGTTTGCTCATTCCTGGGAATGAATCATCACCATGTACAGTATCTCAATCCAACTTCCGGTTTGGGCTAACACCTGTGAGTCATGAGAGTTTGTGAGAGAATCAAGAGGTTAATTTGGGGGACAAAATTCCCCCAACCCCTGGTATCTATTGCCTCTAAGTTAGTGCAAAATTTCGCCCTCCTGGTAATGTCTAGCCTACACCGCTGTCCATGGTACTGACTCCCTCTTCGGGATGGTGGTAATGTCTTATATGGAAACATGCTTTATGTTGTCAAAATGTTAATGAAAATGGCCTGGAGATGGGCTAGGTTCTCTCAGTAGTCTCGAGCTCTTTTGCTCAGACATCTGTTGGCCAAATTTTTACACGTTTTTACTACTTTACCTTTTAAAGTTCCTTTAAAAAAATCTATTGAAATTACAGGGGTGAATTTTAAGAAAAGTAAACCTTGTTTATTGATAACAATGAAGTTGATATTACTTGGGAGAACTTGCATACCATAAAAAGTGTAGGTGTAATGTTTTTCTTTAAAATGTTGGCTTTAAAGACTATTCATTGCAATATTGTCAACTAAGTCCAGTTTTGCTTGTTTAACCATGGAGTAATTCCTGAGAAATGTTTAGATTCTATGTTTAAATTGGCTGGGACTGTGTCTTACACTTGTGTATTTATGCTTAGTACAGTGTACTTAGTACAGTGCTAGGCTTCACTGAACACTGTCAATTGGTTGAACAAAAAGCTTACTTTGGAAGGAAGAGAAGGTGGTCATGTACCTCTGAATGTCCTGAACTACTTTAAAATCCCTCCTTTTCTATCTTAGCTGACTTTCTATTGAGAACTCACAGGGCACTTGTACAAAAGACAACCACAGGGGTACTCTCCTGGCCCTGGGCCTTTAGCAGTACTGGTACTTTCATGACAATTCCAACTGCAGTCTTTGTCTTTCAGTGATTTTGGTGAGTTGGGGTAAGTGGGGACACATTAGTACAGCAGACACTTGGGCCCCTGATAGCCATATTCACATCCCAGAGGTGTCCCTCACTAGCTGCTGGCCTCAGGCCAATTACTCTCGGCTATTTTATTTCATCACTATTCTTAGGCCAGGGGGCTAGGATGTCACAAACACTGGCTGAAATTGTGCAATCCATTCTAGAACCTCAACAGAGAGGACCTCAACAGAGAGGACAGCTGGAGCCAAACAGGCCTACATAGAAATTAGTGTGAAGGGACAAGTGAGTGTCAATTAAAACCAGCAATCGGCATTGCAGAGCTTGATGGGGCCTCTATGGGCTACACAGAAACGTCCCTCCTTTGGGGGTATCATCCTCTGCAAGGCTCTCCTCAAAGGCCTTGGTGAGATTCTCAACAAAACAAATGACCTCATTAATTAAATGGGTTTATGTTCTCCCCTGCCTTCTTTAATTGCTGCTCTGTCTTTGGGGAGAGGTGTTTTCAAGCCAAACTGAGCACTCAGAGCCTTCAGTAATCAGTGCCACAATAAGGCCTGTGTGCTTTGAAAGTGATTACAAAGATGACTGCGCAGGATGTGCTGCCCACCCTGCCTCCACCTCCTGGGTCCCTGTGTGCCCGGTTCCCAAGTGCCCTGCCTCATTGCTTTGTCTTTCAACCCACCTAGAAATCCAAGAAGTCCATCACCATCCTCTCTCTACAGAAAGTTTCTTTTCATGTGAAAACATGCTCTATCTCTATTTCATTCATTGAATATGTTATTATTTGAATACCCTTGGTTCTGTTCTAAGTACAAGAGATAAAGCTGTAACCATAATAGGCCAAACCATGGCTCCATGGGCTCCATTCCACTTGGTGAGTTTCTTCTGTAACCTTGTTCGAATGTTGCTTGTTTGTTTGCATGAGGAACTGTCCCTTTTCTGTCCCATGCTACCCGGCACTTCTCCCTGTTGAACTTGAGAACAGGAACCCTTTCTCATTCCAATGTTTTTCTCCAGTACCTAGAGCAGCACCTGGCATATGTAAGTTGCATCAATTAGCAATTCTGCTATAACAGAGACACCTCCCGCTCCACCCCATCCCCCCACACAAAATACACTGGTTTAAAACAGATAATGATTCATTTTTTCCATCCTTGAGTCTAGAAATAGAAAGTCCAGGCTATTGTAGTCTCCACAGGATCAGCAATATCCAAGCTCCTTTTGTTTCTGTTCCAGTCTTTACTGCTGTTCCATCCTCCCACCTCTCCATTGCCCCTGGACCACCACTGCAGCAATAACAGTCCCGTTCACAGCTAGTCACAGAGAGGAAGGTGGGAGGGCAAACAAGCACGTGTGCCCACCCTTCAAGGAAGATCTGGAAGTCCCACTACAGGTCTTCTCTGTATTTCATTAGCCTGGACTATATCTCATAGCCACCCCTTTCTTTTAGGGTGTAGTAATTTTAAAATACAGCAAGTCCTCACTTAATGTCATTGATAGGTCCTGCAACTTTAAGCAAACTGACATATAACAACCAATTTTATCAATGGCTACTTGACATAAGAATTAAGTTCCTACAGCATCTCATCCTATCTAATAAAAGAGAAAAAGGGTAATTAACGGTACCTCCGCTACGCTTCTCATTGGTTAATCAGGGCAATATGCCAACAAAGATGGCAGTTAATTTGCATACATAGGCGCCAAGCGAAGGAGCGAAGCTGACTGGCCCCAGGCAGGAGCAGCTAGCAAAGGCCGGCGTGGCGAGCGAAGAGCAAAGAGGGGGGCCCACCGGCCTGCGCATGCAGGGCCGGAGGCTTAGCTAAGGCTTAGCACATACTCCCCAGTGGCCCCACAGGGCATCCTCCTGGCAGCCTCCTGACAGGAGGGCGGCCGGGAGAGCCGAGTGGGGCAGGGGCTGCAGGGAGCCATGGAGGGGCAGGGCGGCCGGAGCCAAGTTCCCGGGGGTCTGAGGAGAGTGCTTGACAGGAGCCTGGACTGCAAAAAAGGAAGAGGAAGCGGCCATGGGGAGGTCTTCCAATCCCCCTGCACGGACTCCCCCGGGGGGATAGGGAGGCTGACCAGACAAGGAGAAGACCCAGCCTTGGGGGTAGCTGCAGCCCGTATCTAGATCCTCCTGGTACCTGACCCTCTGTTGACAGTTGTTCACACCTACTCACCTGCCAGCCTCCTGAGGACAGGAATAGAATCTTATTCACATTTGAATCACCAGCGTGCCAAGCCTGGCAGATAGCAGGTAGATTCAGCAGTTTGTCAATTAAAAAATAAATAAATAAAAATAAAGGAAAGAAGAAGCAAAACAGG